TATTTTTTTCAGGTCTGATTTTCGCGATTGCATAAATAGCGCTCTCTACTGTGGGGATCATGCATTACACGTAAAATTGTGTACATTAAAAAAATGTTACCACAGATATGTGTTGCAGATAGGATATCTAACTTTCAATCTCAAGCAAAATGATCGGTGTAATGCATTTTTTTCATTCTACAAATGGTCTGAGGAAGAAGCAAAATCGATTGCTTGTGCTATTTTATCACTGAGCGCTGCACTAGTATTACTTGCACTAGTATACTTGTGAGAGTTTTACTATAAGTCAATCATGTGACGAAGTATTTTTCATTCTCCAACTTTATTAACAAACCGAGATTCAACAAAATATGAGACTTATGTGCTCGGCGTAGTTATATGACTCGACGCTTATCACAGCCATATCGTTTTGCGTGCGTCACAGAGATACAAGAAAAAATTAAGGAGGCTTAAATCATGAAACGGACGTCCTCGATCAATTGACAGGGTTTAAGAATAATCACAGACTTAGATGGTTCCACCTTACTTGAGCAGTTTTGTTCACAGACAGTATTAGGGCTTGCGTTTGCTGTGAGTGAACGATGGACGGATTTTCTTACCTTTTTCAGCCGGTATTTTGTCGTATGAAAAATCACCCCAAAAAATCATATTGTGCTAAGGTTTTTACTTCAATTTCACATTCAAATCCTGGGATACCTGACTCATCTTTACCAAATACCTATTTACTCGACCTAATTTTAAAAACCACTTCCTGAGGTTTGTAGGTTCTCATATTTGATAGGGCTTTTGAAGCGCAAATCGCGTTTGCTCTTAGAGGTTTAGTAAAACATAACGGCGGAGCAGATTCCTTCCATAGGCCTTAAGTCCATAAACCATTGGGCTAATCTTTGTGTTGTCATCGACAACTTACGTTACATTGCAGCAAACTGAGTCGTGTTTGATTAGATTGAGTAAACATAAAGAACATTTGTCACGTCCTTTAAAAGGGATTTTCGTCGATTTGCTTTAATCCTGTACAACTGCGACACGGTAAGCTATGGTGCTCGCTTCAAACGTAGCCGTTTGTCTATGATACTGAATTAAAGTCGGTTTTTTTTGTCGGGAGCAATGTTCTTTTCGTTGCAAGGGAGATTAGTTGAGCGTATTAACATAGAAATAAATCAGTCAATAGATAGTTTAAACCAAGATAGATAAAAAACTGGCTTAGGATGGATAAAGTTGACACCGATTGATTACAATTGCGTTCAAACCTGAAAAAGTGAGGTTTCAAAATTGTTCAAAATGCAAGACAGTGACATAGCTGGTTTAAATCTCGATATTAAGCATAAAATCGAATGCAATCTTCATGGTAAAAGGCGAAAGCAGAAAAAAGTCAACACAATATTTTTCCATACGTTTAAGAACATTGATTTGGCTCCAGCCTTCTGTTAATGCATGGGTACGGACAGACAAGTTAGCCTGACATGTGTTATTACAGATATCAACATCCCAGATTATAAGTTTATGATCCCTTTCAAGTATTCCACAGGAAGTATTGGGAGCAGTTATTAGAAATTTCTTTCAACTAACTAAATTTTTAGCAAGTCTATTCCATTTATCAGGTTAAAAGGTGAACCGTAATAAGTCAAAAGTCGTCTATATCTTCCTCCAATCTTCCATGAACTTGATATTTTTTCTCTCTTTCAGAAATATATTTGCATTTGTAAATGAAGTGAATGAGGTAACGATCAACCAAATTATTACATAATGACAAAGAGAATTTTTTTTTACGCTTGAATTAGGTTTTTTTCAGAAATGAAACGTTAATGCTGCGTTTTTGTCTTTTATAGAGTTTTTTTGTAACATTATTAAAAAGAACGCTATCAATAATCAGTGATTGTTTTGTCAGATTTCAGTTTGCTGATGACTCCGAAATTGCTAGATTTTGTTTTTCATTTATCAGCAAATTCAACAACATTTGTACGTTTTAAATTATTTTCATGGGATTAATATCACAGTGGAGCTAACTGTCTTCGATATTTGTCAACTATAACAAGTTGTTTTCCCCCTAAATCTTAAATAAAACTACTCCACGTTGTGAAATAAACTTTATGCGGAATTATTTTTCGGATTACATGTCCATCACTATTTTTTTCATGCTCGAGAAAAGAATTCGAACTGTCTTTTGATGAATCAGAACTATTTTTTTTTAACTCAAGTAGACAGTTCATGGTGCGCGGATAGTAAACATTTTAGATGATAATTTTTCAAATAAGTGAAAATAAACAGCCAATCGCGTATTGGATAATTTTCCAATCTAGCTAACGATTTGAAAGGCCCTAAAAATGTCTTTTAAAGAGATACAACAATAAGCTCCCCCACGGACACTCAGCAGAGCTTTTACGGTAAATAATGATATCATATGCAGCTAATGTAAATGCGGCCACACACTATTATTGTAGAAAGCAACATTAAAATTGTTTTGGGTGAACGCTATTTATGGAAACGGGAACTTATGTTTCCTTTGTCCAAAAAAAAAATTTAACTTGACCTAGGAAAACGAAGAAGACTCTGAGCAGGTGTTAAAACGATTGCTTAAGGCGCTTGCCCTATCATGAGGTTCTTATGTCAGCAAATGACGTAGTTTTGGGAGCGAAAGAGGATTTATAAGAACGACAAATGCATAAGTAACATAAGATGATAGACAAAGGCTCGCTGTATACACAACTGTGCAATGATTTCAAAGGATCTTCCTTGAGCGGGTTGATTTTACACTGTTGCAATTTTCCCAAGTTATACCGGCAGTATGTCACTGACAGTTAAGTGTCAAGAAGGTAAGAAAAGAGCTTTTTTTTCTTGCCGTCACAGCAGAATTACGCGTCATAATGTTATCAATATTCGATATATGTTTAAGGCTTTTGCACTTTCCACTGAAAATGAAGAAACAAAGATGCGCAGGGTATGATAGAAACAGGTTTAGATTTCTGCTCTCCAAATGAAAAACTAACAGCTTCTAGAGCAGACTGCCAAGTCAAGCTTGAGTGATTCATGTCATTTTTCATCGTATGTTCAGAAATTCATACCACTATTATTGGTGCGGATAAATGGAAATTTGAAAAAGGAAAGCTTCTATTAAGGGTGTACCTTACTTCTTTGATTTCGCCAAAGAATTTCGCAAATAAGCCGAAGTAGCACCATCGTTGAATTACATTTTTGTTCCCTGTGTCATTGAGGTTACTCTCAGGAAAATCCGATTTTTCGCTTAGGCAAAATATGTTATAGTCCAATAACGTAAGAAAAGAAAAAATGAACATGCAGAGTTTGGCATTAAGATAAGAATCGATATGCTCGTGCTTGTCGTGCTTGTCGTTTGCTCGTGCTTGTCTAAGATCGAGGATATGAGCAACGAAAATCTAGCGAGTAACTAGACTTGTTTACAAAGCTTAAGTAAAAGCTTTTAAGATTCATATAGCTGATATAAATAAATTTTCAGACAGTGAACACAGTGGAGAGTCTTAAGGTCAGTTTGAACATAAACAGCTTTCAAATTTTATTGCATCAGTTACAGTACCTAAAAATTTTGTATGTGCGGTTTAAAAAAAACTTAAATGTGCATGGATTTGTGGAGCACAGAAAAACCATGAAATTTGGGAAGAATACCAAATTATATTGGCTTTACAAAGGTAACTCAAATTAGCCTTACTCTTTGCTTCATTTTCGGAGCAAGAAATTTTTTCTTGACAGGTTCTGCCATGCACTCTTCTCACATCAGTAGAAAAAAGAATTCTTCAGAGCTCACACTCTGAGATGATTTACTTCGGTAGCTGGTCTGGATGAACACATTACCTAATATGTTACATGAGTCAGCAAAAAAAAAAACAATTCGAAATTCAATTGAATCGTGTTCTTTTAAAACACATCACGAGTACTCAACAACCATTCTTAAACCGATCGCCCGCGTGGTTCTGTGAAAATCCTAAAATACAACCGAAACGCTTTCATAATTTGAATGAGGTAACCGAAACCCGAAAACCAGAACTGTGACGAAATCCGGTAAGACCTCTGTACTTGTTTCAAGGCCAAACATATGCGATTGATCTCCCTGGCCAATTATCTTGTCTTTTTGCATTACAATCTTGCTTTGTTTTTTTTCTCTTCTTTAGAAAACACACCAAAATCACATAGCCCACATGACTTACGTCAACATGACTAGTAATGAAGAAATCTTCCGTGGGCATTCAATTTTTTGGGGCTACGGCTTGATTATGTTTCTCATCCTTCTATTCGGTTTCTTCGGAAATTTGTTCACCATAATTGTCCTTCGACACCAGGAACACCGCAAGAAAAGCATCACTCCATTAATGGTGAATCTGGCCGTAGCAGACCTCATGATTGTCGTGTTAGGCTACCCACCAGTTATCAACACAAACATATCAGGTCAAATGATGCGCGCAGGAGGAATTGTTTGTATCTATTCCGGCTTTATCAACGGCATGACGGGAATTACATCCATTGGTACTCTCACAGCAATGAGTGGTGTAGTGTATCAAACTATCAAGCGAAACAACCCAAATTACTCCGTTTCTAGAAGAAAAAACATAGTCCTCATTGCGGGCACATGGCTTTATGGAATCGTCGCCTTGCTTCCTCCGTCGGTAGGATGGAACCGGTTTGTGCCCGGCAAGGCCGGTGTTAGCTGCGCACCTGATTGGACAACTCAGGACCTTGTGAGCACCTTGTATATCGTTCTGTTAGTCACTGGTGGCTTCTTGATACCGTTTATACTGATAACAACGTTCCTAACCAAGACTCTCAGGTAAGTAATGAAGAAAATAAAGAACTGAACTGGTTGGATTCTGTATTGAACGTAATTAAAAATAATCATTTCGTTCAGTGTTGTAACGAACTCCAACCAGAAATAAAATTCGATGAAACTCCGACTAAAAAAACTCCCCTACTGATATGATGTGTATTATTTTAACATCATATTTAGAAAATGCGTACACTTCATTTCTCCCGTTCAGTTAGGGGTCGGTTTAAGTTTTGAACATGGTACCTGTTGAACCGCCAATACTTCTTACCTTAATATCATTTATTTTCGCGAGACTTGATTTTCGCGATTTTCGCGATTTAAAAAACACGCGCGAAATTAAAGTCCCGCTTTAAAATCCTTTATTTAAACTTTCTGTCTGCTAGGAGTTTACAAACGAGTAGGACGGCTCAAATTTCAGTTCAACGCATGCCCTTATTGCTCATCATCTGACTCGTCTTACTTGTATGGGCTCTTTTAAAAGATGTTACTAAGTTGCTGACATTGTTGAACATTTCAGCCAGCTGTTTGAGGTTTGTATTCCATTATGGTTAAATAAAACACAGAAATGGAACTTTAAAATACGAGCACCAGTTACTTGATTCGCGAAATTTAATTACCTTGAAATTGAAAATCGGTGATTCGTCAAAATCGCGAATTTTAATTCCCGCGAAATATTTTTATTCCAAATACGCGAAATTAAAGTCGCGCGAAGAAAAGGGATAATAAGGTGGATGAAGAATGAAATGCGCATGAGCTATCAGTCGCGATGACACCACCTGAGCCTCATGATCAGTATAAGTTAGACGCTATGTCTAAAGTATTTGTTTTCAGAAATGATTCTCTAGCATTTTTTACATGCTTTTACTTTGTACCGATCCAGATGAAATGCAAAAATTTTGTCATTCGTTATTTTCTGTGCTTAAAAATAATATTCTCTTCTATTGGCCGATAGGATCACTTTAGTTTTTGGAAGTTAAAGCATTTTTGAAATCGAAAACGTCCCCATCGTGTTTAGGTTAGGAATAACGTTAAAACTTTTTATAAAATAACTAATTTACGAAATGAGATCGTTTATTGCGGCAGTTAACCCACCGAAAATTAATACATACTGCTTTCCGTTGTAAGTTTTGGTTTTTCGATTTTTTTGTTTTCAAGTCAAGTCTTCTCCAACATCCTAAGTGGGTAATGGCATCAGTAAACTAATAGAAAGTGCAACTGAATCTATTGCTTAATTGATCGACTCCTCTTTATGTGCCAGGGCTGTGCATAACTTTTTATCGAAAAATGTTTCACAGATTGCTCAAACGCTTTCCTGTGCCCTTTGATCCTTTTATCCTCGCGCAACGCAGAAGATACCAACAAAGAACACTGTTAATGATCACAGCAACTATGGGGGCCTTCTTGTTGAGCTGGTCACCGTATTGCATCGTCAGCTTCGCGGCAACTATCAAAGGACACCATATACTCACACCAGGGGAGGCAGAAATCCCTGAGCTGATGGCCAAGGCCTCTGTTGTCTACAATCCAATCATTTATATGATTATGAATGAAAGATTTCGGCGGACACTCCGGCGAACCATCACCGGTAATAAAACGCCGATAGTGGCTCCTGACCAAGCAACAGATCATAACTTTATCGTGTCAATGCCTAGAAACATTGGGAGAGAAAATAATCTCAATATTACAACCACGGCAGAGATATCCACTTATTTGAATGTAAATTCATAGATTTTCAAATTTAGTCATATAGACTCATACACGAGCAAAAAACCTAAGCTCTCATCCCGATTAGGCAACAGCTTCGGGTGGATTTTTCCTCATATAGAGAATTCGGGTTTAAGGACATTAATGTTTCATCTTTAATTTAGTTCACTTTATTTAAAGCTAATTTGCAATTTGGGTGTACAATTACGAATACAATCAATTCCAATTAGCCTACCATTACGATTACTACAACTAATTTGGAACTGCAACTGATTTTAAAAAAAATTTAGCCAGGGCAGGTCGTTGAGCTTGCTGTAGTATGCTAAGAAACTGATCGTTCTTTATCGCCGGGCAGGGAATGGAAGGATCGGAGGATTCTGGGAAGGAGAACATTTTTTTTCAGGGGGGTTATAGAAAATTGACTGCCCATGAGGGAGGGAAGGGACGTAAGAACATTACAGAACCTGATGGGGGATCAGGTATCGTGAAACACCAAAATCCACCGACCCCCTCCCTCCCAGCCGATACAAAAATGACCGCTCGCTGTTTGACAACGTTGCTTCAGTTGAATTAAGACAAAAGACTAATATGCGATTTGCTTGACGATGAGTCGAGGAAATTAAGCTCTTGTACATAGAAACATTCATCCCAGGAGGTCTGGGTTCAAGGTCAGAAGCTTGTAGGGACAGCTGAACAAATATGGCGGCCATGTGAGCAAAGTAGTGTTGAAAAGTTAGGATCACTATGGTCAAGTGGTTTTGCTGCTCAGCCTTCTGTACAAATAGCTCTCAAACGCGGAACGCAGACGGAGAAAAAGTCAAGTTTTATCGCTTGCCTTAGGACCCCAAAATACAAGCTTCTTACAGCATGACTCTTCTGACGTCTGGTGCAACTCGGCATTCTGCCGGGTCATACCTGTGCTGAACATTGACTCAAAAATTTTCAAAACTCCAGCTATATTCAATGGCGAAAAAAATGGGCAACCAACACTTACCAAGGCCGTATCAGAAAAAATACCACAGTGGCCGAAAAAGATAGCTGCTCAGAAGGCAAAAAAAATTAAAAATAGAAAATAAGTTGATCATAAGAAGGGAAAAATAGGAAAGACAGCAAGAACAAAATGCTAATTTCACGGGAAAGAGTGAAAGCTACAAATTATACTCGGGGAGAAGTTATTCGGCCCCAAGCCAGATAGAGCATAACTATTACAGCGTTCTCAGAACCCGCGACCTCGATGACCTCTATTGCACTCGTTGTGCGCCCATATGATTATCACTCGACCACCTCAATGTTTTTTCTCCCATTTTCATTAACGGAAAATAATTAGTGTGATAAAATAACTTAAAATAAGCAATCATAATTATTAACCAAGCAAGCTGAAGTGGATACAGAGATCAACTTATTGTCAACTGACGACTCGTTGACTCTGCCGGGAAAGCATTTAACAACCGGCAGACTTCGCTGAAACAATTCATGAAAGGAGGCACAAACATCAACAGACCTGTGATCGAGTCAACTGAACGTTGTTACAACACGTTGTGATTATTGTTTATTTGCTGGTTTTCATAGCGGTAGAAAATAAAAGACTGTGATACAATTCGGTTCCATGATTTCTAAAAAACTGAAGTTTCAATGATATAAACGTTGGGTTGTAATGTAGGTTAATTTAGGATAGAATAATGATATAAATGTTTCTGGTGGAAATATTATTTGCGTCTGTCTTAAGACTCCCAAACGCTGCACGCCTTAAACCCGGTGGGCGCGCTTCAAAAGCTAACAAAACGCTATTTTAAACGCTAACAAAAAGTATTTTAAACACACTTAACTAAGAAAAAATACCTTATTGGTTTGAGTAGGAAACGACCCAGTTGGGTACAAAACAATCCAACTGATTAGGTACATAACGACCTTGCTGGGTACAAATTGACTGGGTACGAAACGACTGTGGGTAAGAAATGACCGATAACCATTTTATTCTTCTTCCGGTTGCCTACCGTGTCTCTAAAACGTCTTTGGTAACTTATTTTTCATTTTTTATGAAGTGCATGAGGTGCACGTGGATGTTAAGGGGCAGTTCAAGTTTATTGATGGTATTGAGCACTATTGATCATACGTTTTCTTTAACTGTCAAGCCCTCGATAGACATATTTGGTATAAGCGTTGACAACAGACCATGTTATGATAATCATATATCAAACATCTGCAAGAAGGTAAACAATCAGTTTAGTGTTATGTAAAGGTTTCATAAACTGTTCTCAACTGACACCATGTTAAAAATGTACAGGGCTTTTATCCTATCGCATTTTCACTACTGCTCTACAGTTCGGTATCATTGTGGTGCACGTTGCGCAGAAAAGTTAGAGGCTCCAAATAGATACGGCTACTTGGCAAGGTCAACCTCACTTCGTTCAGTAATAGGCGTCTCCAGTATATGTTATTATCGGTATATTAGGGATTGTTTGTAGTAAACTACCCGAATTATATGAGAACCCTGTTTACTCCTCGAAACTCCTGTTTACTCCCTGTTTACTCCTCCAAAGTTTACAACCTAAGTGGTCACCACATCCAGTCACTTTTTAATGACCAAGGTGCTAAGCTATGGAATTCTCTACATGATGTCGTGAGAGATTGCAAGAATTTATATAAATTTAAAAGGATAAATCGTACTTTTCTCAATTTTAACTTTAATATTACAAGAATGTATCATTTTTATATTTATTGTAATCAATTTTATTATTCAGCTGTGCTTCGTAGAGTACAAATAACGCGCGAGACGAGTACAAATATCTCGCGATATTTGTACTCCAGAAATATCCGCGAAATTCGCAACAAAACCTCTAATAAGATATATGTATTTTATATTTTATTAATGTATTATTTGATTGGCAGGTAAATTTTATATTCTAATTAGAATTTGTACTTTCAGCGTACACTATTGAGTTATATTACACTATTTAACAATTATTCGCCGAAGGCGAGGTGAATATCGTCGAATAACCCCCGAGACGAAGTCGAGGGGATTATTCGACAGTATTCACCGAACCTGAGGGAAAAATTTGTTTTAGTATAATTTCAGAGCTGAACAACAGAGAAATTTCTAAAATGATAACACTTTAGTAACGTTTATTAACATTTTATTTTAACATTTTATATAAACCGCGTGGAGCGGTTTATATGGCGTCATAGAAGGAACCGCTCGACCAATCATATTGCTGGAAACTCTTTGCTCAGCTCTGAAATTATACTAATGAGTTATATAGTTTATTTATAGGAACGGGAGGTTGCTGAGCACAAAAGAAGCGTAAGAGTCGCGCAAGGCGATAGCCGAGAGCGACTCTAGCTTCTTGGGTACTTAGCAAATCTCCCAAATGCATCCATAACTCAGTGGTGTAGCTGTAGTGTTCACAATTTGTTTTATAATATAATTGTTTTATAATATATTGTTTTATAATTTGTTTTATAATGATACATTACTGCAAAGGATTTCCCTTTTTTAAGACTGAAATCTTACAAGCGCGCGGAAACTAGTCTTTGGATTTGCTCACGTCAGCAGCGTATACCCATGGGCAAATGGTGGACTTAGTATTTACCAATCAGAGCGCGCGCTTTACTTTGGTTCTGTTCTAATGTATTTTATTACATTTAACACGAAGACATTAGCCTTTGTAATTACACTCAAATTTGTGGTTTGAATAAAGTTTACGTATATATGCATCTATCTATCCATGTATGTAAGAGTCCAATCAAAAAATATTATTCCTTTTTTATTTATTTTCTTATGACATTTTTTTGTTACTCATAAATGATGAAAATTCATTCGCAATCAGATTTCACGCGTAAACAACGGGTAAAAATTGAATTTCCCGAATGTATCATTACTCTGGTAATGACATTTGCGTCACTCACTTCATCTAACAATAATGACTTAGCATTAATCAATACCTTTTCGCCATTATGTTTCAATGATTTCATGGGAGCCTTTCAGCACTTACCACAGAAAACGCTTGCTTTTGGGTTTTCGCCATAATCGATCACCAAATTTCTATAAGGCATTCTAAGTATTACGGGGCCAAAGCAGAAACCAGCCTCAATGGACTCTCAGAAATTAGTGAAGGTTCGTGATTCCCTGAATGATATACTTTTATCTTGCTGTCTTATGTAAAACAATATCACGTCATGATTCAGGTGCTCATCACTTGCGCTTACTTATGATCACTAATTGGTTCTATAGGCGCTCTGAGTAATCACTGTGATGCGCAACGAAATATTGGGTTACGTATTGCATGTTAGGCTATTAAAAGGCTATTAAAACAAAAAATAGACAGTCAAAGACTACGTGTGGTTACTGGCATAACACAATGTTCAAAGCACCGGAAAGAGCTAGAGGTTGTATAATGACGCTAGAAAGTAGTGTTGAAGAATATTTGTCTCCCATTCAAAACAGAAAACCTGCCCCATCCCACATATCTACGAGTACCCCGTTCTACAAGAAAAAGATGATTCAAGAATATATTGTCTAATTGAATTTCATCCAATAATTACATGGTAACAAATAATGAGATTAACAATAATAATAATGATGGCAATAGATTACTATAATAAGAATTTAAAGAGGCCAACTCGAGAGCCTCACGGTTTCCCTATCCTCTGGGACTCCAACAAATATTACCTTCGCTTCTTTAAATTTCGTCTGTCAATTGTGAAAATTTGTCACACAGACTTTTGTTTCATACAAAATGGCATTCTGCGTTGTAGGATATTCCGTCATTCCGCGTCTTAAGATATTCCGCCTTTCCGCCGATCCACTGTTCATCCGTTCCATCAATCTGTTGTCGTATTTCCCAGCATGCTCGTCTCGCAAATTTAGCAGCACTTTTCGGCTAAGTCGCTGATTTAAACACTAGAATGTCTCTTTTCTTTGTGAAGATCACATCTTGTGAGATAATTCTGTATGAAAAGTTTTGATTTACTTTATATGCGTTGGTGGATGCCACTTTTGTAAAGTGACGGCAAGAACTGTAAAGATCATATCTTCGGATCAACATAATTTGTTGATTTGAAAAGTAAAGTTCTTTCTGTTCTAAAAACTAAAAATTTTCCCCAAGTTTTATGGTGCATTGATCACACCTATGAAGATATGCTTTGCAAGGAAAACGTTTGTCAGTTCCAAATCGCGCGGAACCCTGAAATGATCGCTTTCTTTTGTCTTCTGTGGTATCACGGCAAGAATTGAAAACATGGTGTGCCAGTGGTTATAAGGAACAAATTACAAAAGGAGAGAACTCAACTGTGAATTAAGTGTGAATGATGAACAACTCAGATACTCCGGAACTATCAATAAGTAGTAACGGGAAACACCGGGTCAAAATTGGGTCAAGATCGGAGTTCTATTGTTACACTAACTCACTCACCTCGACAGCATATGTGGCTTCGCCTCCTTTGGGAGGCAGTATCCACAAAAGTGGTTTACTAGAAGTAATGCAAACAGATGACCAACGATAGCGAAAAGAAAAGAAAATTGCTCCATTCAAAACCAAGTGAGTTTGGGTTTTAAAAAACACAAACCCTATTGCCTTATTAGCGACGCGACTGGATTCTAATAGAGAAGTTGTTGAAAAAAAGATTCACTTAGCAGCATTCACGTAACCTGAAAAAATTGATCTATTGCATCTGATGTGTACTTGGCTTATAAAAGGTTTTAATTGACAAGATTTCTGAATAGGTAGTGATGTAATCATTTTCGTGCAGAAACATTTCATCTGAAGAAGCAGGTTAAAGTTACGTGGAAAGTTATATTCATATTCAAACGCTTCTTTCTTATCTTTGGTGTCTGGTTTTTTTGTTTTTATCGACCAGTGTTCATTAAAAAGTGCTTTTTACGACTACAACTAAAATTTGCATTTCCCTCTCTCGTGTATGTTACTTATATACAAAGTCATTGGCTCAAAACATCATCAGCACACCTGGCATTTTTCGTATCCATTCACGGCGATGTGTTTGTATTGTGGTTTCTTCTCACCAGATAGACCAGCCAGTCATTAAGCCCACATTCTAGCATGATTCCAAGGCCTTGGGCATGAAATATTTATTTTCCCTAAAACATCCAGAAGAGACTCGAGGACAAATAAGACAATTGCCAAATGGGAAACTTTCTCATGAAAGTATAATGTAAACATAATGTGACTAATCTGGTCTGGTATAATGTATCGACTGTGGGCTCGGCATGTAAATCCTCACTGAATACAAGAAACGATTTGACATAAGGAACAACCGAATCATATTCACACGCATTTCAAAATTCGGTTTTGAATTGCAGGTAAACAGATCAATGAACTTAGGAAATTTTCCTTTTTGAGTATCACCATTTGGTTCACAAAGGTAAGCACTGAATTTTGAAGAATTTCGTGGTATCTCGATATTTCATCTGAAGAATTGGAAGAGTCCGTTGTATTTGCTGCTTTGGAATAAGTAATTCGTTTCATTAAAAGTAAATCCTTATTAAAAATGAGGAACGTTTGAAAAAGGAACAAGAAAATTACAGTCATACGTGTTTCCTGATTGTTGAATCTTAGGAAAACAGATGAATGACGAGAATTTCCTTTTTGAGAGTCGCTATTCAATAAGGAAAGAATTGAATTTCAACAACATTTTAGATTTTTTCGATGCTTTATCTGAAGAATGAGAAAAGTCGCTCTACTACTTTGGAATAATTCGTTTCGTTGCAAAAATATAACGGTGAACATACAAACTTTTGAAAGAAAACATCATTAGCGATATTAAGTAAGTAAACTGCGTTCAAGAATCAGGAAGGATTATTTCGGCCATGGATCATTGTATTATTTTAGCAATTAGCGATAAGCTGTCACATTTTTGCTCTTCAAAGAAAGACAACTTTCCACTATTCAATTAGACTGAAATGAAATTGTTACCTCACAGATTAAATAGACATGGTCACATTTCGCTTGAAATATCAGTAAAATGTTTTCCTATTCTTTGATTTCTCCACTATACTAAACAAAATCAAATTCGCTATTAGTGGTCAAGTTAGGCTGGTTATAACCAATCACATTCGAATATTTTGATTATAGTGATAACAAAAATAATAACACTTATAGTTATTATTGTCATCTGTGTAGTTACAAAAACGAAGTGCCTTGATAGCACACGCTCCTCATTTTCGTCAATAAACTGAGATGATTCTGTTTCTTAAAGTTTCACTGACAAATTTTTAATTCGGTGGTAGCGATTTGAGAACTTCAAAACTGATATTGTAGGTGTTCGAGTGTATTCACTGTAATGTCTCGGTCTTCTATTGGCACACACTATCCATAGGATTAATGAACGAGTAGACAGATACGAGCTCAGAAAACCTCTGACATGACATGTCAAAGACATGATATTCCCAAAAGTCATTCCCATAATTCATACGGTCACATACAAACTTTCAACATCCGATTTGTTACACTATCGGAGCATAATATGAACATCTTATTATCCAACTACACCTAGACGAGTACGAATGACGCCATAGACGAGTACAAATATCACGCGGTATTTGCACTCGTCTATTGTAGTACCGGTTAAACTGGTTTTCTCGCATCGCGCAAGCGAAAAATTGGATTGTAGTTACGGAAAAAAAAAAGTGGCGGACAATTTCAATCATATTTCCGACGACGAAGAGTCAGAATGGCTGGCAAATATAGATCCAAGTTCATTTGATGAATCGAACGAAGAAAAACAGCTTGACGACCAGAAAATTTCTTCATTTAATGAAGAAAATAGAAACAGCAACACAACAACGCGCCAATTCCGTTCCGCTTCGCATACTTCTGTCACGCACTCCCCGTAAATAAATATCCGCGAAATTCGCCCGCAGAAACAACAGTTTGGCGTGTTGGATAATAAATAACTTATTAGACGTTTTGTTGTGTAGTATCGCTGAGTATTTTTACTCGTTATTTGTATTTTGACTCGCCCTACGGGCTCGTCAAAATACGACACAACTCGTAAAAATACTCAGCGATACTACACAACAAAACGTTTAATAAGATATATTTATCTTCTAGTAGTTCGTTATTCACTGCCTCTTACGGCATGAGCCTAGACCAGCCTTCCTTCAATAAAAAAAAGCTCAGTAACTTATGAAATCATCCATTGCTACCATCTCTCTCCACCACCAGTCGACTAGTTGCCAGTCTATCCCTTTTATTATCCAACTACACCTAGACGAGTACGAATAACGCCATAGACGAGTACAAATATCACGCGGTATTTGTACTCGTCTATTGTAGTACCGGTTAAACTGGTTTTCTCGCATCGCGCAAGCGAAGAATTGGATTGTAGTTACGGAAAAAAAAAAGTGGCGGACAATTTCAATCATATTTCCGACGACGAAGAGTCAGAATGGCTGGCAAATATAGATCCAAGTTCATTTGATGAATCGAACGAAGAAAAACAGCTTGACGACCAGAAAATTTCTTCATTTAATGAAGAAAATAGAAACAGCAACACAACAACGCGCCAATTCCGTTCCGCTTCGCATACTTCTGTCACGCACTCCCCGTAAATAAATATCCGCGAAATTCGCCCGCAGAAACAACAGTTTGGCGTGTTGGATAATAAATAACTTATTAGACGTTTTGTTGTGTAGTATCGATGAGTATTTTTACTCGTTATTTGTATTTTGACTCGCCCTACGGGCTCGTCAAAATACGACACAACTCGTATAAATACTCAGCGATACTACACAACAAAACGTCTAACAAGATATATATATTGATGGCCCGATCAATTGGAAGCTTCAACAACCCACCTCCTCCTCCCCCTCTTCCCTGACAACCCAAGGGCATCTGACCATCGTCCGAGCCCTGTAAATGGAGAGTTGGAACCTTGCTTGGCTGGAGTGGGGAATTTGAATCAGAAGTGCCAAATCTTTTCAGTGGAGCAAAAGTGTTATATCTTCAAATATGGAGGTGTTTAAGGTAGACAGTTCAATTTCGCGAGCGAGTGGCTCAGAAAAAAATGTTTATATAGTCTAGGTTTTTTAGTCTATATAGTCTAGGTTTTAAGGTCACTAATTTTGCCTTTCACAAAAGGAGAAAGTTGGATGGGGCTTTTAAACACAATTTTTGCTCGAGGAGGAGAGATTTAGAACAAACCTATCTTCAAAAGTTCAAATTCCCAGGGGGTTGCCCGGGGTACGTTGAAGCTTAAAATTGGCCGAAGGATAACCACTGGTTTGAACAGAGGGCTTTAAGGATGTAAATTGATGTCACACGACGGATTAGATAAAAATGACATTAAACCCCACACTATCTGTTATATCAATTTCGGTCATTTAGTTCATCTCGCTGTCGGAGTATTAAAGTGTTGTGGGCAATTCTATTAGGAAGGTTTTTTTTTCCCTTTGTTTTTCTCAAGGAAGTATTGACTTTTTTTTATCAGGATTTGTAAAGTGCAGAACACTCTCCCTTGGCTTCGTTTCAAAATTCCGCTCTGACACTGCATTAACTTTACGAATGTTTAGCATTTAGTATTTTAAAGAGACATGGCGAAGGTAACCGCAACAGACACTTTTAATTTTAATCCATTTTTTAAATTGGGCAAGATTCTCAGGCTGTTAAGAAAAGCAATGATTCTCACAGGTTAGCTGCAATTTAAGCAATTGCAGAAAAACAAGACTGAAAACAATTCAAGCTTCGACGGGATTCGAGATTCTCAGACTGTGTTTGCAAATGAAAGAAACAGCCGCAGTTAACGAGAATATATTTCTAAACTTGTGACGATTGACTTTTGTTTACACGAGGTAACATTGAAATAGGGAAGAGGAGAAGACAAATAAAAGATATAAGGAAAAAATCAAAAAAGGAGTAGAACGTGGAAAGACGTTTGCCTCTCATTCCAGGTCAATGAAAACAAATTCAAACTATTAAAGATAAACATCCTGTGTAGGATTTGCTTGTCACTGTAAATCCTTTTCTTTGGAATACGATGTAACCTAAAATTGTCGGTGGATTTGCGCCCTGAAGGCAAAAGTGAAACTTTTCAAACTTAAACAAAAGAAAAAAAAGAGACCTAATCAGAAACGATAGTGAACCAGAAATCAATATCAATACTCTCTCTCGTAACCTTCGCAGTCTATTCAACGAGTCACGTGCGCTAAGCAAGTCAAAGTTCGGCAAAATGGGCAATTTTCCTTTGATCAGTCCAAATTGCATCAGCGAATGGATGGAATGGATCTATCCATTGAAACGTAGATGATCGGAGGAAGCGCCGGAAAAAGCTTAATTACTTACACTGATGCCTTTAACACTTCAGGGATTGAAAGTTTATCGAAAAGGGCGACCGGTTTTCTTTTGAGTCTGCTGTTTTGTGTTTTGATGGAAATGAGAAAGGTGTTGTTTCTTTAGGTAAATAAAGATACTTTGCAGGTCCTGCCTTCGGCACTGACGCTAAATCAGAAAACTTCCAACCTATCAATGACTTTAAATTCATCATCAGGACATCTAGAAAAAAATTAATTGGTACGCTTTGATTTGGTTTGAGCCAATTCACAGAAGTCCACAATTTTTACCACGCGCTCGCCCGCTGAAATGAGAAGTGTCGAATGCAGTGCAAGAATCAACCAACGGAAAAAAAAAACCATGCAATCAATGCTTAAGTCCAGAATTTGAATTAATTTACCTTCATTGGCTCAGTAAGTATTCAAAGTTGTTATGCTAAATCTAAACCGAACTTTGTAGTTTTTGTTTTATCACTAACTCAAACCGTACCGCAAACAAAAACAAAATTAAGATTTGTTGTTACCATCTGAAACCTACGGTGGCTCTCAAGGCCATCCACCTACAAAAATTTTCATGACTTTATCGCGCGATAAGTTTTGCAAAGCTCATTCATTCAAAAAATTTACAATCATCATTATCGCGCGATAGAACACTGTATCGCGCGATAGAACAACTTATCGCGCGATAGAACAACTTATCGCGCGATAGAACACTGTATCGCGCGATAGAACAACTTATCGCGCGATAGAAAAACTTATCGCGCGATA